GCTTCCAGCGGGTGTGCCGCGACCGCCTGGCACATTCGGCGGGAACGCGCGCCAGGCGGGGGACGAAGAGGACTGGCTCGTACCCTACATCGCCTCTACGCGCTACGGCGCGGATTCTAAGATCCAATCGCAGCAGTCCGTCGATCTCGCCGCCAGAGCAGCCGCGGCCGCTGCCGGCGCCGGCAGTTCCGCGCAGAACAAACCATTCGGGGCTTCCGCAGCTTGTGCGTCTGGCCCTGTTTCCGCCTCCTCCTCAGTACGCGTCCCCGCCGCAAGCACCGCTGCCGCAGCAGCGAGTCCGATCCAGAGTTCCTCCCAGGCAGCGAAGGCCGCCGCTACTAGCTACAGCCTAGATGCCGTTGGTTCTTCGCGCGATTCCCGCCGCAAGTCCTGGGCCGCACCGGCCGCGTCTCCTAAGGCTGCGCGACGGCCAGGTGGCGGCGCGGCGGCGGCGGCGGTGGCGATCGCGGCTGCTGCGGCGGTCGTGGTGGTTACGGGGGGAAGAGAGGACGACCGGAACGCCGCTAATGACGGCGGTGCTACTAGCATCGGCGCAACCCCCGGCGGAGGCGGCGCCTTTGCCGCTTCCCCATTACCGCAGGGAAGAGGTACGGGGACCGGTCGCTGTGTATGGGCAACAGAGGCCGCGGGAGCAAACCCGCCGGGGGACCTCGCGCGCGGCGGCATTTCCGCCGGGAATTTCCGCGAGCCCTTGGGAGGAGCTGCTGGGCGGAGATTAATCTCCGTTTTGGAAGGCGGCGGCGCAGAGGCGCAGCAGGCGCGGGAGCAGATGGAGGCGGAGGCGGAGTTTCTCATGCACGCGACCGAAGCGCGCAAGTCGATATCGGGGAGCGGGCGACGCGCTTCGTTGGATTACTCCGATCTGGAAGCGGTTAAGGAGAGGTGAGTAGTAGTATAGTATTAGTCGGGTTGATGGGGACACGGAGTGAAACGAGCAGAACGAGAGAGATTGAGCTGATGATGCTAATACGGATGCGAAAGGGACGGACAAGAGAGACGAAAAAGGGAGTGGAGGAGAAGGAAGGAGTGTACACAAGGAAAAGGGGGAATCGTTTTCCTTGTAGAGTATCGGCGTACCTATGATTGAACCGGGACAGAGAGGGCAGGTGCTGTGATTCGGCGTGGAAGGGTAGCGATGGATGTGTGGCTTGCTGTGGGGATTGAGCTGGTGGCATCTCCTTGACTGTCCTGGCAAGCTCCACGCCCTGGATTTGTTCATTCTCTCCTCTCCATTCCTCTCCCCTCCATTCCTCTCCCCTCCATTCCTCTCCCCTCCATTCCTCTCCACTCCTCTCATCTCCTCTTTGCTCCTCCTTAGCTTCTCTCACCTCCTCTCCTCTCTCCTCCTCCCGCAACTCTTTCCTCCTCTCTCCTGTCTCCTCTCACCTCTTCCCGTCTCTTCGTCTCTCTTCTCCCATCTCCTCTCAAATAACCTTTCATACGGCAAAAAACAGACGGGAGTAGCTCTAGATTACATCACATCACAGTACTGAGAGCACGGTTGCTAGTTCGAGACTTCCTCTGCTGGGGCCTCTAGAGTGTGCACCAGGTCACATATGAAATGGCTATGCCTAGCGGCGACTATTGAGACGTCTCAAGAATGGCGATGCCTAGCAGGGAACCAGTCCACTGCCCTGGGGGCCACTGTAAAGGCGTTGTGGGTCTCGGTGATGAGAGAGTTCGCCTGGGCTCGCGTCTGCCTCTTATCTCCTCTCTGCTCCTCTACGTGCATGATGCACGTCCTTTGTTTCCCTCCCTGCTCGTTTCCTTTCCCCGCCTCTCCTCTACCCTCTTCTCACCTCCTCTCATCCTCTCCTCCCTGATCCTCAGTCCTCCCCTCTCCTCTCCCATTCCTTCCTCTCCTCGTCTCTCCTCTCCGCTCCTCTCCTTTTCTCTCCTCTCTTCTCCTCTCCTCTATTCTCCTCTCCTCTCCTCTCCTCTCCTCCTCTCCTCTCCTCTCCTCTCCTCTCCTCTCCTATCCTATCCTATCCTATCATCTCCTCTCCTATCCTCTTCTCCTCTCCTCTCGTATCCTCTCGTCTCCTCTCGTCTCCTCTCGTCTCCTCTCCTCTCCTCTCCTCTCCTCTCCTCTCCTCTCCTCTCCTCTCATCTCCTCTCCTCTCCTCTCCTCTCTTCTCTCTCTCCTCTCACCTCCTCTGCTCTCCTCTTCTTGCACCTTTTCTCTTCTCCGTTCCTTTCCCCTCCTCTCTTCTCCTCTTCACTTCTCCGTTTCTCTCCTTTTCCTCCAATTCCTCTCCCCTCCTCTCAGCCTTTCTCCACTTGTCTCCTCTACTATCCTTTCACCTTAACTCACCTCTTCTTCTCCTCTCCTCCCGTCCCATCCACTCTCCTGGCCTTTCCTGGTTTCAGGGTTCAACAAGCTGCGTCCCTCTGGGCATTAGCAGAGGACAAAGAACGAGAGGATGCAGCCGCTGCAGCACTGCTTTTGCAGCAGCAGCTTCTGAAGCGGCAACAAGAGCAGCAACAGCAGCAGCAACATCCGCACCAGGAGGAGCCGCAGCAACAACAGCAGCAGAAGAAGCAGGAGAAGCCATCATCGCATTTTCGTAAAAAATCTGTCGACGTGTCAGCCATGGTTGCAGCGGCAGCAGCAGCAGCATCATCAAATATCTCTCGAGAGAAGTCAAGAAGCCACAGTAACAGCAGCGGTTGTGCCAGTAACGGCAACGGCACCGCTGGCCCTGCTGCTGGTGGTGGTGGCAGTGGCAGTGGCAGTGGCAGCAGCGGCAAGGTCTCACTATTCCGCAAGTGGCTTTCATTCACTCGCTAAGCGAAACGACCGCAAAAGGACCGCTTAGCTCTGGTTCTCAGCATCTGGTTATTATTTCACTGGTTATGATGCGGTCAGCACACCATACTTTGATTTGGAGAAGCTGCCTTGGGAGCGTGGTAGGGCCAAGGAGACGTGGTGGAGAGAAGGTCTGGGTAGATAGCATCTTGATTAGGGCCATGGTTGGAGGCTGGAGGCTAGATGCAATGAAGCAGTGAAGCTTCGCTGCAAGAACCTGCTCCCTCTTTCGGGGATTAGGTTACTTTCACCCTTGCCTGCGCTCTGCCCAGTGCTCCCACCCTGATGCTCAGGGTGTACCTCCCAGAAACTTGGCTGGGCATACCATTCCTCGTTTTGACATCCCTTAAGTCAAAACAACAACTGCACGTCTTGTATGAAAAGCTTATGCAAAAATAAGGTTTAACATTATGAGTAAATTCTCTCGTTTCCTGTATTAATTCCATAGTGCACCGTGTGTAGCTCTTAGGGTCATTCCTGCAAAGACGTGTCTTCGGTTTAGGCGTCACAAAGGCAATGTACCGCTCTGCACCGCATTACACCCAAGTATCAAACGTTTCCGTTGCACTGTATCTCGTCGTTTGAGACGCGATGGCTTTGTGACACGCTCCAGGAATGTAACTTTATGCTGCTGGCAATTCGATGGATTTGCACCGGGTGATATACCTAGGAGGGGACATACAGTACCACTACCATACCATTCATCCCCACTTCCCATTTCAAAGCTATCCAGTGTTGTGATCGCATGGTTTTGGAACTACGCTTGGCAAATGAAACGGGTATGAACATCTCGCGTATGCAGTGTACTTCCCTATCGCCCTTCTTCGCAATTCCATCATGGCTTTCAGTGGATTTGATCGCGGTTCTCCTCCCTCCCTCCCCTCCTCTTTCCTTGCAGGCTTCATCTCGGTTCTTGCTAGGCGCTTGGGTTGCAGTGTACACACGATGCTCGTTTGACTAACCAAAGGTTTCCTTGTGAAGGAGGCTTTTAAGTGATTCTGTGCACTTCGCAAATTTCGTCAACGTCGCACCTAGAAAAAAAGGGCTTATAAAAACTTTGTAACTCCGCGTTGACAGTTTGACTTCAGCCTCTTCTGTTTGACTTCGGTTTCTGTGGTTCGTATTGCTTCATAACCACTGCAACTTGCTCGAGGGGCTTGTAATGTGGGTGCAACTGGCTGGTAAAAAAAACACGGGTGCAGACTTTCCGTCCTAGAAAGGGAAAATTCGCGCGCAGGGATTGAGCATCGTGTGTATTCGGATGACGTGTCGACTGTTCAATTCTTGCGCGAATCGTGGGATTGGTTGGTTGGGTGGGTTTGGTGAATCGTGATGTTTCCTAAGGCCCAGTACGTTGTGAATCGTGATGTACTGTACTGCTCTGCTGGTCATCGCTCGCGCCAGGAAATCAGTTGATCCAGTTCGTATGCGAACGGAATATCGCTCCACCACGTTACGGTTACCGTCGGTTTTTCGGTTTCATCCAGGCGAACCCGTTCTTTCAATCTGTTGACAAGCCAGATGGTTCTGAGTTGGAGAAACCGGTGCGTGCATTCTGAACGTCAAGTGGTTCGCTTTGAGTTGCAGTAACGAGTTGCACCCCTCGTCAATTGTCCTGGCCTGCTGAAAGCGACAGCTATAGCGATTGTCACCGCCAGTTGCGTTTCCGTCCTCTTTCGGCAGGTTCTGCCTATGGCGCTTTAGCATGTAGGCTTTTTAGTTGTCAACAAGAGCTGGGCTGCGTAGCGAAGATGGTGCACAGGTTCCAGAGCACCACATAATTGCCTACTCATGCTCACAAGTAGCGGTTACAATGATTAACCAAGGTAGGCACTGACAATGTGTGGGCATACTGCACGGCCGATTGCGCGTCTGTTTCTTTCGCGTTCTAAAACCTAATTTTTTATTCACCCCAAACATGGCCGAGTGTCTCCAATTATTTTTTCGCAACAGGCTTTCTCGTCAAGCTCCGCGTGCTGCTATTCCCTTCACAACCACCGGCGAAATTACCCTCGTACTCTCTGTCGGACCTCGGCCGCCGCTAAAACAACTCCAAGGAACTTCTCGACCCTAACCTTCCAAACTATCTGCGGCTCGAGCTCGTGCTTCTGCTCGTGCTCCTGCTCGTGCTCCTGCTCGTGCTGCTCGTCCCGTTCGTGCACGTGCCACTATGCGGTTGGTCAGAGGAACAGCAACCGGCGCACCCGCATCCCCTCCGCCAGCAGACCGTTCTCCCACCGCCCCAAAATCGCCCGGCGGGGGGAATTCACCCCTGCGCTGGCTGCGCTCCTCCGGCCGCTCCCGTTCCTCGTCGGAACTCCCGGCGATTGTGACCGCGGGACAGGGATTATCGGACGGGGAAGGCGGAGGGGGAGGGGGTGACGGAGGGGGAGGCCGCAGCAGAGGCCGACGGGACGGCGGAGGAGGCGGAGGAGGCGGAGCTGCAGCGGCAGCAGGTGGCGGCGGGGGGGCGAGCGCTCGGGGGACGCGGAAACAGGGCGCGATTATTGAGAATTCTCAAAAACCCCTCACGAAGACACAGGGTGCGTGTTTCGCACCCTCCATTCCCGTTTCGCGCAGTGCCAGTAACGATCCCGACGACGTCGCCTCGTTTCTCCTCGAAACCTCCACCGTCTCTTCCAATTCGTCCCCTTCCGCGGCTGGCGGCGGATCAGCCGCGGGGGAAGGCGGCGGCTCTTCCGGGGCGCTACTTTCCCCCGCGTCCGCTGGTGACGGCAGCGGCGGCGGCGGTGGCGGCGACGCAGGTGGGATGGAGGAGGAATCTAGCGAGCGCGCAATTGGCGCAGCGTCTCCAGCTCCTGCTCCTCCTGCTGCTGCTGCTGCTGCTGCTGCTGCTGCTGCGCCCGTTAGGCGGAAGCGCGACGTGCTCATGGCGCGCTTGGCGGGGTTCCGCGGCGGCAAGAGCTGGGCGTCTGTGGATGACCCTTCGTTAGGACTTGCTGCTGCTGCTGCCGCTGCCCCTGCTTCCCCTGCTGCCCCTTCTGCTGGCGGTGGTGGTATGAATGGTGGTGTGGGTGCCTGCGGTGGTGCAACGGCGGGTATTTCTGGTCGGGAACAACGAGTGTTGTCGGAGAGGGTGGGAGGAGGGTTCAAAGGCAGTTTTTCCTTGGAGCACGAAACGGCTGACGAGCAGTCAGGGCGTGGCGCAAGGGTAGCAGGGGGAGGAGGAGGAGGAGGAAATATTGTAGCGGGCAGGCGAATGTTTTCCGAGTCGGAGCATGTGCAACAGCAGGCGGAAGCGGACGGGGAGGCGCAGGCGCATGCGCGGAGCATATTCCGCAAGCCCCCCCCCGTAATGGCTGCGCGGATGCTGGCGGCAGAGCGCGGCGCAGGCCACGCGCGCGCAGCCAGCGCGGACATCACGGCGCACTTCGCCACAGCTTCCGCCTCCCCCTCCCCCTCCGCTTCCGCTTCTTCCGCTGGGGTTGCGGATGTGGGTGCGGGCGCTTCCGCTTCCTCTGCAAGCGCGAGGGCTTTGTTCGGGGGAGCAGGGGCGGCGGACGAAGGGGGGCGCAGCGGGCGCATCTCGCGCGTTTTCAAGCGGTTAGGGCTGGGGAGCGGACGCGCGTCCGCGGTGGGTGTGAGCGGGCTTGGGGGGGCGAGCAGCGGGAGGGCGGAAATGGGGGGCGACGGGGGAGCGGGAGGCGGGTTTGGAAAGAGTTTCTATGATACGCCGTTGCCTCTATCAGAGGATAGGAAACGGCTGAATAGGCCGTCTGCTGCTGCTGCTGCTGCTGGTGCTGCTGGTGCTGGTGCTGCTGCTGCTGGTGGTGGGGCTGGTGATGTGAGTGAAAGTGGGACGGAGGAATCAAAAAGGAGAGAGGAAGCAGATGTGACGAGGGAAAAAAAGGAGTACGGGGGTGAGGGGGAGGAAGAGGAAGTGGAGGAGTGGGAGGAAGAGTTAGTGGAGGAGCGGGAGGAGGAGGCGAGGAGGAAAGGAGTGAGCACGGACGAGATGCATCAGGGGTTGCTGCTGAGAGGCTCGCGTGGTGAAGGCGGTAGTAGCTCTTCTTCTGCCTTCCATGGCAGCCGTTCCCCCCCTGTGGCGTCCCCTCCTCACAACGCACCTGCTTCTGCTGCGTCGTCTTTCGCGAGAGGAGCAGCACAAGGCGCCACTCCCGCAGCAGCAGCAGCAGCAGCAGCAGCTGAAGGCGCATCAGCAGGGGCATGGGCAGGGGCAGGGGCGTGGGCGGTAGGGCAGGAGATAGAAGTGGATGTTGTGGGGGAGGATGGGCGCAGCAGCACCATTCCCGCGCGCCTGGTGGAAGCCACAGTGGTGCAGAGCGGTGCAGGGGGGCGGCGGGTGATGGAAAAAATAGTGCTGGCTACAGGGGAGGTGATGATGGTGGTGGTGGAGGAGGAGGGGGAGGGAGAGGGGAAAGGGGAGGGGGGGGGGGGGGGAGGGGGAGCGCGGAGGTGCGCCCATGGCGCAGCCTGAGGGGAGGGGGGACGGGGGGGGCGGAGGGGATGGGGGGGACGAGGGGGACGGGGGAGAGTGGATGTCATGGGGTGGATCGGGATCGGGGGAAGGCAGAGAGGTTGCTGGGGTGCGTGGGGAGGAGTTAAAGGAGAGAAGGGTGGGCGGTGGGGGTGAGAGGTTGGGCGAGAGGCTTGGTGGGCGGAAAGAGGAGAAGGCAGGGGGGAGGGAGAAGGAGAAGGAGAGGAAGAAGAAGGAGAAAGGAAAGGAGAAGGAGAGTGAGAGTGAGAAGGGGAAGGATCGAGCGTTGAGGGAGGTTCTGGAGTTGTCCAAGGGGATTGGACGGTCCAGATCGAGCATGGCAGAGCTGATCAAACGGGTGAGCAAGGACGGAGGGTGTAGCAGTTCGGATGAGCAGGAGGGGGAAGGAGCCAGGGGGTCGCAGGGAGGCGGGAGAAAAGAAGGGCCGAGAAAGGAAGAGGGGAGAAAGGAGGTGGGAAAAAAGGAAGCGGGCATGGGCGTGGGCATGGGAAAAGGGAAGGATGCATTGAGAAAGGAACGAAACAGCAGGCTGGGCCGTTCACAATCAAATATTGGTGAGCAAAGCAGGGGTGGCGCAGTGGAAGGGGAGGGCGTGGGGAGGACGCGAGAAGGGGCGGGGGAGAAGCGGCGGGGGTCAAGGCTACGGGGGACGTCCCAGGGTGGTATGTCCTGGGGTGGTGCTGTTGATGGCGCTGCTGCTGGTGGGGGTACAGGGATGGGAGGCGAGGAGGAGGAGGTGGTGGTTGGGAAGAGTGTGACACTGCCGCTGGAGAGGGAGAAGGAAAGGGAGAGGGAGAGGAGGGCAGATGGGGGGGAGAGCGGTGGGGAGAAATCGAGCAGGAATGCTGCGGGGCTGAATGTGGAAAGGACGGGGTCTGATAAGAAAGAGAGGAGGAGAGGAGGTGCGGAGGAGAGGGAGAAAGGGAGGAAGGGTGAGAAGGCTCGGGAGAAGCTGGGCAGGTCGCAGTCTGTGGAAGTAGGGGCGGTTCAAACAGGAAAGGGGGAGATGCATGGGCAGGAGGAGAAGGAGAAGGGGAGGGAGAGGGAGAGGGAGAGGGAGAGGGAGAGGGAGAGGGAGAAGGAAAGGGAGAGAGGGAGGGAGCCAAGAAAATCGAAAGATGAAAAGGGGAGTGGGGTGGAGAGAGCAGAGAAGGGTGGAGAGGAGGACGGGAAAGGGGGAGGTGAGAGAGAAGAGGAGAAAGAGAGGCGTGTGCGAGAGAGAAAGGAGCGGGGGAAACGGGACAAGGAGAAGGAAGGGGGGGAGGAGAGGAGGAAGGGGGGAGGGGAGCGAGGCTGTGGAGGTGCCAAGGGAGGGGAGGAGGGCGCGGATGGTGGGCATGGGGAGAAGAAGACGAGAGAGCGGAGAAGCAGGAGCAGCATGCTGGTACGGGATGGGTCTTGCACTGATTCGGATCGTGGGAGTGGTAAGGAGCGGCGCCGCTCTAGCTTGAAAGAGAAGGGGAAGGCAGCTGCAACATTGGCGAAGTCTGCATCAGCAGCTTCAGCAGCAGCATCAGAAGGGGGTCTAGAGGGAGATGTATCTGGGAAGGCAAAGTCGAAGCGCAAGGAGGGGTTGCGCAGTGCAAGTGGGAAGAGCAGGGAGAGGAAGGCGGGAAGCGAAGGGGGAGGGAGGAGCACAGGGAGCGGTAAGCAGCGGGAGAAGAAAAAAGCGCCAGCATCATCAGCATCAGCAACATCAGCACGCGAAGGAGAGGCAGCAGCGGGAGGAGGAGGTTCCGGTGCAAGTGCTGCAGCTGCCACTACAGCAACAACCGCAGCAGCAGCGGCAGCAGCAGCAGCAGCAGCAGCAGCACAGGACAGCAGCGTGCCAAGCCCTGCGGAGTTCATGGCTCAGATGGGAGTGCCTGACGACGTACACATGGTGGCTGTAGAACCGCTGCTCTTCACCCCCCACCACCCTGCAGGGGACGAGTTTGCCCTGGGCACAGGCATGGGAGTGGGCATGGGCATGGGAATGGGAATGGGCATGGGCATGGGCATGGGCATGGGCATGGGCATGGGCATGGGCATGGGCATGGGCATGGATGGATGGTCGCCGCACAGCAGCAGCGAGGGAACAGAGGGGAGTAGGCACGGGTCGGAGCAAGGGGGGGTTGCACTGGGCGCAGGTGGGTTCGGAGGTGCAGCAGGGGCATGGGGTGGGGGAGGGGCAGGAACAGGGGGAGGGGCAGGAGCAGGAGAAGCGGAGAATTCAGAGGCTCTGGCAGCGAGCATGCGGAGGGCGTGGGTGAGAGGCGGAGGTGGGGGATCTCGGCTGAGTATCCAGCAGCGGGAGCGGCGGCGCGCTCACAGCCGCTCCCAAAAGGATGCAGCTTGGTCCTTCCCTGCCATGCCTGACCTTGAAGCTGCTGCTGCACGCCTGGTGAGTGGGCCTCAGGAGGGCGAGGAGGAGGAGGAGGACGAAGAGGCATTGCCTCCCCTGCCGGAAGGGGAAATGGAATTGGCAGCGGCGGCGGCGGCTGTGCGTGCTGCGGCTGGGCTGGGAGATGGTGAGGAGAGTGAAAGTGAGAGTGAGGGGGAGGAGGAGGAGGAAGGGAGGAGGGTTGGGGATGGGATGATTAGCCCGTTGGCGAGTCCTATCGGGAGTTCTGCTGATCGTGCTGCTGCTGGGGGAAGAGGTGGTGAAGAGGAAGAGGAGGAAGCGGAGGAAGCGGAGGAGGAAGAGGAGGAGGAGGAAGAAGAGGAGGCTGCTACGCCACCGTCCCTTGGCCGCACAGATTCTTCTACTGGTGGTGTCTCTCTTATGACCCCTACCACCACCACCACCACCACCACCACCACCACCACCACCACCACTGCTCCCACCGTTCTACTACCAGCAGGCTCACCCGCAGGCAAACCAGCAGGCAGATCAGCAGGCAGATCAGCAGCAGCAGCAGCAGCAGGAATGGGTGTGCCTCGTCCCTACTCCCCCGTGCTGAGTCCTTCCGCTAAAGCAGCATCAGCATCCGTCATTGCTGCTGCTGTTGCAGCCGCTGCAGACGCGCGCTCACGCACCCCTCTCCGCGTCGCCATAGCATCCCGCCAGGGTGCTGCCTCTGGCCGCTCAGCAGCAGCTGCTGCCGCCGCTGCTGCCGCTGGTGCGGGTGGTGGGTCTGCTGGGGGGGGTGTGAAGCAGGGGGGGATGCTGTGGCAGCGCAGGAGCACGAGTTTCTGTGCCATGGAGCTAGAGTCTCTAATGACTGATAGGGGCAAGGATCCGTGGGGTATGGGGTACACAGGCCCTCTTAGCTCTGGCGCCAATGTTGTTGCTGCTGCTGCTGCTGCTGCTATCGGTGCTGGTGCTGGTGGTGTTTTTGCAGCACGGCCTCGGTCGCCGCTACAGCAGCGCAAGAGAGTGATGACAGAGAGTGATGTGGTGCCTGGGGGCGGGCCTGTGCGATTGGCAGCAGCGGGGGCAGCAGCGGGGGCAGCAGCGGGGGCAGCAGCGGGAGCTGCAGCAGTGGTGACGACAGCAGGAGCTGAGAAAGCAGGCAGAGGAGGAGGAGGTGGAGGAGGAGGAAGAGAAGGGGAAAGGGCGGGAGGAAGGAGAGGCGGAGTGCGGTTGGAGAGACCACGAATCCAAGGAGCTGTGCGTCAGCAGGGGCCAGCTGACGGACCAGTGGTGGGGGGGAGAGCTGCATCTGCTGTCTCAGAAGACGGCAGTGCCCTGCTTGCTTCTGCTGCTGCTGCAGCCGCTGCTGCCTTCGCTGCTGCTGCTGGCGGTGTTGGTGGCTTGAGAGGCCCCAGCCCTGCTCGTATGCGACCACCTGTCCCGCCCAACACTGCTGCCGCTGCTGCTGCTACTGCTTCTCCTGCTGGTGAGGCTTCTGCTGCTGCTGCTCGTGGTGGCGCTGGTGCTGGGGCAGATGAGAGGGCGGCAGGGATCAGTATGCTGGGGCGTGTTGAGTCATTGGGGGAGGCATGGGCTGTGAGGGGGGTGGTGAAGGCTGTCGAAAGGGAGCAACAATGGGCAGGAGAGGAGAAGCGGGGTGATGTCGTGGAAGGGAACAATGGAGATGTTTCTGCCACTGCTGCTGCTGCTGATGATGATGATGATGGTGATGATGATGCTGCTCCTGCTGTTACCAGAAATTTTGCTGCTGCTGCTGATGCACAGCTGTTGTTGCAGCAGGAGCAGGAGAAGCAGCAGCAGCAGCAGCAGCAGCAGCAGAAGGAGGAGGAGGAGGAGGAGGAGGAGGAGGAGGAGGAGGAGGAGGAGGAGGAGGAGGAGGAGGAGGAGGAGGAGGAGGAGGAGGAGGAGGAGGAGGAGGAGGAGGTTGTAGAGCAGGCGAGTGTGCAGCGGGCGCAGCAGTCGGTGCTGGCGAGAGTGATGTCTGAAGATGATGGGGTGCCACGGAGCGACTCCGTGGTCATTCATGAGTTCAGCTGTGATGACATGGACTCGGATGGGGGAGATGTGGATGATGCTGCTGCTGCTCCTGCTGTTACCAGAAATGTGGCTGCTGCTGCTGATGCTGATGCTGATGCTGATGCTGATGCTGATGCACAGCTGTTGTTGCAGCAGGAGCAGGAGAAGCACCAGGAAAGGCAACAGCAGCAGCAGCAGCAGCAGCAGCAGCAGCAGCAGCAGCAGGCGAGTGTGCAGCGGGCGCAGCAGTCGGTGCTGGCGAGAGTGATGTCTGAAGATGATGGGGTGCCCCGCAGTAACTCCGTGGTCATTCATGAGTTCAGCTGTGATGACATGGACTCGGATGGGGGAGGCGTGGAGGGAGAGGAGGGCGAGGAGGGAGAGGAGGGACAGGAGGGAGAGGAGGGAGAGGAGGGAGAGGATGCGGGGAGAAGGGAGGATTGGGAGGATGTGAAGGAGAGGAGGGAGCTAGAGGGAGTGAGGAGCGGAATTTCAGTTGAGCGGATTGAGGAGGTGGTGAGTAGAGGGGGCGGTGGATTGGACACGAGGGATGGAAGGGTGGGTAAAGTGGTGCGATGGAGTGAGGCGAAGGAAGGAGGTGCTTGGGCGGGCAGGGAGGAGAGGGAGCGCAGTGCACACTTGGAAACTTCAGAGGAGGATGAGGTAGAAGCATATGGGGAGGAGGAGACGGATACTGAAGAGGGGGAGGATTACACAGAAGAGGAAGAGGAAGTGGACGAAGAGGACGAAGAGGACGAAGAGGACGAAGAGGAAGAGGACGAAATTGTGGACGAGATGATGTTTGTGCGATCGCTCTCCACGATCCGACGGCCGGAAATCGTTCGTCGGCTCAGCAGCGTACGCACGATGGGAGCAGCAGCAGCAGCAACGAGACGCGAGTTTGGAATCATAGGCATGGCACGCTCCTCCGCACAATCATGTCAGGAGCACTGGTCCCGCCTCTTCCTTCGATACTTAGAGCTTTCCCTCCAGCTTCCCTCACATGCTGCTGCTGGTGGGGTGAACACCAGTAGTGCTCGGGAGCCTGCGGCCCAGCCTCGGTCGCTGTCGGGGCTGTTTGCCTCGGACGAGGGCGAGTGGCTCGGGAGCGCCGTACCTGTGGTTCGGAGCGCGCATAGCAACCCCAACTGGACGGCAGCTTCGGCATTAAGAGAATACGAGTGGGTGAAGAGGAAGTTCCAAGGGGCGTGTGGTAGCTGCGAGCAATTTTCAGAGAGTCAGGTGCGGCAGCTGTTTGCTTGTGGGCTGGCTGTGTGGGTCAAGTACTGGGAGCAGTGGGGCGAGGAGAAACCTGACTGGGCTTATGAGCTTGAGGAGTGGTATGGTGGGGAGGAGGGCGAGGAGGGGGGTGAGAGAGAGGAACAAGAGGAGGAGGTAATTCGGCGCCCGTCCTTCTTCTCCTCCTCTTTCGCGCAATCCCTGCGCCGCCACGGCACCCTAGGCCGCAGCACAGCCACCCTCGCTGCTCCCGCTGCTGCTGGCAGTGCCGCTCCCATGCCCTCACCCGTAGAGGCCCGGTGGGGCTCCCAAGGCTCTCTGCAGTACAGACTTGCAAAGGAGGCTCTAGCAGGGGCAGGGGCAGCGGCAGGATCAGGGGGGGGAGGGGGAGGAGGAGGGGGGTACTTGCAGGGGATGATCTGCAGGCAGGATGAGGTGGTGTTGCTGGTGGGTCTCGCTGCGTCCATCTGCTCTTGGCAGCCCGCCACCGCATGCATGTGCCTCCTTCACCTCCTCGACCGCCTAGCCTTTCTTGAATCCGCCGCTCGTGCTGCTGAGGCTGCAGCTGCTGCCGTCGCTGCTGCCGGCTTGGGGAATGTGAGGGCCGCTGCTGCGGCGGCTGCTGCTGTTGCTCCTCCTGCTCCTGCTTCTGCTGTGGTTCCAGCAGGTGTGGCTGGTGGTCAGCAACAGGGGGTGTTGCTGCTCTCCTCCCCTCGCGCGTCTTCTCGATTCGGGAGGAGCGGGGATAGCCAGCCCACGTCTCCCACGTTAGGGCAGGCGCAAAGGGAGGGTGCTGCTGCTGCTGCAGCTGGCATTTTTCCTCGTGTTGGTTCAGCTTCTGGGCTGGATGCTGCTCCTGACAATGGGAAACACCACCACCAACACCATCACCAGCACCAGCACCAGCAGCAGCAGCAGCAGCACGAGCAGGGTGCAAGCCACAAGCGCCGCTTCTCTCTTGCGATAGGCTCTGCTCTCCTTGGCTCAGCTTTCTCAAGCTTCCAACACTCAGGCTCTGCTGCTCCTGCTGCCGCTGCCGCTGCCGCCGCTGGTTCTGGGTCCGTCTCGCTGAATGCCGCTAGCTCTGCTGCTACAGCTGCTGTTGCCAGAGTTAGTGTTAGCCAAATCACCTCTACCAGCACCACCAGCAGCAGCACCACTTTTCCTCCCAGCGCCTGTGGCAGCGGTAGCAGTACCAGCGGCTCCGTTCCCGCTTCCCCAAGCGGCTCTTTCCCTCAAGACGCCTCTCTGGACTCCCCCCACCTCTCGGTATCCGGCATGCCTGCTCTCTTTGACCTCCTCCCCTCCGCCCATCTCGCCTCCTGCCGCGCGCTGGTCATGAGCTGCCTCCGGTCTGTGCTTACTGCTTGCTTTGACCGCGCTGCTGCTAGCGGCGCTCTGGGAGGAGGGGGGGTGGATGGTGGGGTGGAGGGAATGGGACGGTCGAGCTCGCGGCATGAGCTGGTGATGCAGGCGCTGTTGAAGCAGCAGCAGGAGCAGCAGCAGCAGGAGGAGGAGATGCAGAGGAAGCTGCGTGCGGAGCAGGTGCAGGGGCAGGGGCAGGGGCAGGGGCAGGGGCAGGGGCAGGGGCAGGGGCAAGTGGGGGTACCAGAGAAAGGGCAGGGAGAGCAGTCCAATGGCGAAGATCAGCAGAAGGACCAACAATCAAGACCACAACCTCAATCACAGTCACAGCCACAGCCACAGCAGGCCCCATCACCAGCAGCACCAGCAGCACCAGCAGCAGCAGCATGGGCGCCCCTTCCTCTCTCAGCCCTTTCCGAGATCGCACTAGCAGAGGGCATAGCGCAGGCGAGGCACAGCAACTTGTCAGAGCGATGCGAGGAGATAGACCGTCTCTACTACTCCTTCGGCTTCGGCCCTGGTCTTCTAGCCATGAACCTTGCTGTGGAAACCCGGTCTCTCAGGAACCTCTCTCCAGACGATCTGCTAGCCTTGGCACGGCACTGCGTGCGCATGGGCCTGCACGAAGCTGCTTTCAGGTTCGGCATGGCTGCCGTAGCGACCGGTAGGCTCGGGGTCGACGGGTTCGCGCAGGTGATTTCGATGGTGTTTCTCGGGCGAGGCGTGGAGTCGGTTTCAGCGCGGTTCGCGCGGCTTGCTACTGCGATCAAGAATGCACCAGGATCAGCCATGGCTGCTGCACCTACTGCTACAGCAGCTGCAGTCACAGCTGCTGTGGCGTCCGCACTTGGCCCCGCCGCTATGGCAACTGCGGGGCTGCATCTTCCGCCGCTGCCGCAGCCCACGCCTGCTCCTGTGTACATCGGGCAGTTTGCAGATGCGATGCTGAGGAGCAAGCAGCTGAAGCAGCGGTTCCCGTGGGCGTATGAGGTGACTCTGAACTTCCTCAGGATGAATCTCCGGGGTAATCCTGGGGGTGGGCCCAGCAGTGGTGCGGCGTCGTTCAACCTCTCTGGTGCTTCTGCTTCTCCATCTGCTTCTACTGGTGGTAGTGGTGGTGGTGGTGCTGGGAATGGTGTGATTGGCCTGGTTGGAGGAACAGGATCGTTATCATTTGCATCAGCAGTAGCAGGAGCAGCAGCAGGAGCAGCTAGAGCAGTGTCACACCGTACATCGACTGCTACTGCCACAACCTCTGCTGCAGCTGCTGCTGCTGCTGCTGCTGCTGCTTCGCTATCCCCTTCATCCTCTTCCCTCTCCTCCAACCCCCCCGCCCCCACGAGCGGGCTGGCAGCATTAGAAGCGCTAGAGCGCGAGTTAGCAGCACATGTGGTTCTCAACCGGTGGCTGGGAGTAGGCCTTCCGGGTAGTGGCGTGCGCACAGTGGGGCAGGCAGAGGAGCGAGCAGTGGAGGTAGTAGAGCAGATTGTAGACCCGGAGCAGCAGGTGGGGTGGGCCGTGTGGCTGCGCGTGGGGCGGCTGTTGGAGAGCGAGCAGCCGCAGCTGCCCATGCTGCTGGAGACGATGCAAGTCAAGTCCGTCATGCATACGTACGAGGTGAGCTTGTAAGACTGGGTGTGTGGTTGCGGGTTCTGAGGGCGGAGTGAGCAGCCGCAGCTGCCCATGCTGCTGGAGACGATGCAAGTCAAGTCCGTCATGCATACGTACGAGGTGAGCGAGCCTGCGTGTGTGGGTGGGTGCGGGTTTTGAGTCAATGCGTGATGGTGCTGACTGGATGTGTGCGCTCTGACCCGTTGCATGTGAGCCGGTGCGTGTGGGGATGCCATTGGGTGGGGTGGATGGGCGTCAGCTCAGCAGGGTGGCTGGATGTGAGCAGGTGGGCGCATGTGATGTGACCATCTATGCAGATTTAGTATCCCATCTTGCACAATGTCATCCCCTTAACCCCCTCTTCACCCCCTGCTCTCCCATCCCCATCCCCTTTCCCCCCCTCTCCCATGACCTCCCCCATTCCCGCCTCCTCTCCCTCCCTCCCTCCCTCCCTCCCTCCCTCCCTCCCTCCCTCCCTCCCTCCCTCCCTCCCTCCCTCCCTCCCTCCCTCCCTCCCTCCCTCCCTCCCTCCCTCCCTCCCTCCCTCCTCTCCCTCCCTCCCTCCCTCCCTCCCTCCCTCCCTCCCTCCCTCCCTCCCTCCCTCCCTCCCTCCCTCCCTCCCTCCCTCCCTCCCTCCCTCCCTCCCTCCCTCCCTCTCTCTCCTCTCCCTGCCACCCCACACAGCTCATAGACGCCAACGGGGAAGCAGCAAACTACCTCGCCCTAGAAGCCTTTGATTGGGGCTTACAGGGGCTGCTCGCCTGCCTAGACCCCTCCGACGGGGCAGCGGAGCTCATAGATTTGATTTACCCGCTGGACGAGGAGCGCGTGCTGCTGTGCCTCACCATTGCCACCCGCATGGCTGCCACGCACACCGTGGGGAGCGGGCGGCGATGGCCGACCCGAGATCTGCCAAAGTTTGTCGCCCAGTTGCTGTCTCTAGCGGAGACGTGTGAGTGGGGATGGTGGGCCAAAAGCTTGGGCACGGAAAGGGTGTTTTCTGGTGACGTTTCAGTGTGGCCATCAACTGATTTGAAAGCCATCAGGAGTGCAATGTGTGGGTGAGAAGTGGGACATGTGCGTGAGGTTGGTGGGGTTCCTGCAGAAGAGTGTGTGAGTGTGTCTGGGTGTCCCTGTTTTTATAGCTGCTCCACTCATCATGACCCCCTGCTCATGCTCTCTCCTCCCACCCCCACACCCCCCCCGTCTCCTCCCCCCGCATCTCCTTGCCCCCTTCCTGGTATCAGGGCGCATGGAGGGCCAGGAGATGTCGCGAGCAAACTTTTGAGTCGACTCAAAAGTTCTCCCCTGTCTGTCTACCCCCCCCAACCCCCCCATCTCCGCGCACCCTTCCTGGTATCAGGGCGCATGGAGGGGCAGCAGATGTCGCGAGCAGTGAGCGTGGTCACTCTGCTGTGGGGCTGGGCGCTGCCCAAGAGAGAACAGCTCATGGACCAATGCGGGGTGAGAGTGAGGGAGGAAAGATGAGAGGGAGAAAGGTCGCTTTGAGATGCCTCAAAACAAATCCTCTTTGCTGTGTCTGTGGGGTTGGGCTCTCCCAAAGAAAGAACAACTCATGGACTACTGTGGGGTGAGAGAGAGGGAGGGAGGATGGGAGTGGTGGGGTTAAGAAAAGGGAGGGAAAGGGGAAGAGGGGGAGAAGGAAAGGGAGGGAGTATGCACCTTGAGTTGGTTCCCAATCAACTCACAGCACACATATGGCTTCTCTTTTCTCCTGCTCGCTCCCTCTTCGCTCACTCACTCTCGCTCTTTTTCTCGCTCGCCCCCCTTGGGTCGGTGGTTTTCGTTTCTGCAGTCTGCTGACGAAGCAAGGGAAGTCATGGAGCGAACTGCATCCTCTATATGGGGGTCCCTTGCACAAGGTAATTCAACAGCAGGTTATTTTGCGTTGTTTTTGTTTTTATTGGTTAAGATGAATCTTTTAGACGCCTATTACGCTCCTTCTCTTGTTCTATTCCCAGATTTGAGTCACGCATACTAACTGCCACAAAATGTCATGTCACATACCCTGTTTTCCTTATTTTCGTTCTTTCCCCCTCTGCATTCTCAGGATCCCAAAAGTAGAGAAGCTCCTGTTAATAAAGGCAATTTGGTTATTCCCCGAGCCTTTAACCGCCAGTTTTGATTCTTTCCAGCAAAGATTCTGTACCCAGGCTGCTTTTTCTGCCTGAAATGACTTGGGTATCTGTCAAAATATGTTATTCATATTTTATATAATTCTTGTAGTGTTGGTGTAGTTGTCTCATGTGTGGTGGTGGTGCACCTCCTTGCCTTGCTTGTTCTTGTTTCCTATATCTTGTATCCTTCTTCCTTAGTGAAACCCCTCTTTTTTTCTTAAAGCCAGCAGCTAAAATAGTGACCCCCCCCTTCTAGTTGGATCCACTTGATTATCAAAGTTTTTTTGTAATGTTTTGAAAAGTTGAAGTGTCGTGTGTGTGGGTTTTTTTCGCACCTCCAGACGAGTTCCGAATGAACAGGGATCAAAAGTACCTTCTCAATTCTGATTGGCAGCCAAATACTTGCACGTACATTTGCGATTATGTGCAAGGTTGAGCGACGTGCAATGTCACATTCACTAGAGTTGTGACTTCACCAAATTCGCGTCTAGCAGCAGCACAGGCAAATTGTCAAGCACAAACGTAAGATATGAGAGTGGAATAACGTGAAGAAGATGAGAGCCAACGGAGCCACGACGAATCGTGCCCTCTTCGACTTGGGGCCTGAGAGTGGTTCATTAACAAGGATTCCTGAAAAATAAAAACTGAGCATGAATGGGGTAAACGGAGAAAAACAAGGTGATGCGACGGGATGGAAGGGGGGGATATTGAAGGCGAGGGGAGGGAATTGTGAGGGCGACGGGATGGAAGGGGGGACATCGAAGGCGAGGGAAGGGAAGGGGAGGGACGGGAAGGGAAGGGAAGGCGACGGGATGGAAGGCGAGGGAAGGCGACGGGGTGGGGAGACCAGCGCGTGAGGGCGACGGGATGGAAGGGGGGGACATTGAAGGCGAGGGGAGGGAATTGTGAGGGCGACGGGATGGAAGGGGGGACATCGAAGGCGAGGGAGGGAAGGCGACGGGAAGGGAAGGGAAGGCGAGGGAAGGGAAGGGGAGGGACGGGAAGGGAAGGGAAAGGAAGGCGACGGGAAAGAGAGCGCGTAGGCGACGGGAAGGAGAGCGCGTAGGCGACGGGAAGGAGAGCGCGTAGGCGACGGGATGGAGAGCGCGAAGGCGCGGGGAGGGAGGCTGCGCGAGACAGGCAACCAGCCCCTGCGGAAGTGCAACGATCGCCTGCGGAAGGGACTTAATTTACGATACTGAGCTACGCGACAGTCTTACGCATTCCTGCAGGGTCGATAGTTACTTACCTTGGCCACAAACACCTATTGTTGTCAGCTAAAATATGCTAGGAATAAAACTAGTGACTTCGGGATGGAGAGCAGCTGGTCATGAAACCCAGTTCCAACTTGAAACCAATGTTGGCCTGGCGACGGAAACCATCGCCAGGCAACAGTCGTGCAGGTGTAGCACGTAGACGTGCGACGAGGGAGATCCGGATGGAAAAACATTTTGGCGGGAACAAGACAGCAGAAAGTTGGCGAAAGCCAATCACTTTTGTTCTTAGTGCTGCTCGTTTTCTTTGGAACAGTGCTCTATCGGCCTGCTCTCTGCAGCACCATTTCAAGTTGGGACAGGGTTCATTATTTTATATTCTGGTTTTAACTTCCATCCATGGCTCCTATGGTTCCTAACTTAGCCTAGGACTATTTCTGACATGCTATCAGAGCAGGTCCCTTCTAGGACCTAATCTTCATTGGGCCAACCGTATGCTTCCGCTCATGCGCCCTTCTGCCCATCGCGCGCCCCGGGCGCGCGTCATTTTCCTGCCCGTCGCGCGCCCCGGGCGCGCGTCGGTTTCCTGCCCGTCGCGCGCCCCGAGCGTGCGGCGGTTTCTGCCCGTCGTGCGCCCCGAGCGCGCGGCGGTTTCTGCCCGTCGTGCGCCCCGAGCGCGTGGCGGTTTCTGCCCGTCGCGCGCCTCGGGCGCGCGTCGGTTTCTGCCTGCTGCCCTGCGCGCCCCGCGCGCCCTGCTGCGGTGCGTGGCGACTGCGGTGCGCGCGCCTGCTCCTTCACTGCACGCGCATCTGCAGCCGCGGAGCAGCCCCTACCCCCCCCCCCTCCCCCCCCCCCCCCCCTTTTTTTTTCCTCCCTCTCCCTGCTGCGCGTGCAGCAGGGGGAGGGGGGGAGGGTTTGGGGATGGCGGATGTGAGTAACCAGCCGCCCCTCCTCCTCTCTCTCTCACTGCTGCACATGCCGCTGTGGGGTGGGGGAGGGTGTGGGGGAGACGAGGGAGTGGCGGTAGGGATGCCGAGGGTGTGAAGGGGGGTTTTGGGAAAATGGGGGAGGTTGAAGGGGGGTGGCCGCCGTGAAGCCAGTAGCTCCAGTCGCCCGTGAGTCTGTTGCTCTTGCCGCTCGTCCAGCCGCAGAGCCAGTTACTCCAGTTGCACGTGTGCCAGTTGCTCCAGTTGCCCGTGTGCCAGTTGCTCCAGTTCCGCCGTGTCCCAGCAGCTTCAGCCGCCGCCCACCACCTCCTCTCCTCTCATGGTCCCTCCTCCTCCTCACTTGCCCTCTGTTTACTTCCGCTGCACTCTGCATGGTGTTGTTCGAATCAGCAGGCAGGAATGACTAGAAAGGAGGCAGTACAGGTTTGTATAGGCTAACCCTAATTGGGGTTGTACCCCATACCGAGTAACCCACTATAGCCTAGCAAGTAGAATGCATTTTGACACACCCCCATAGGCTAAGTGGGGGACAATCAGATGGTCACAAGACCAGTCAAGCAAGAGAACAAAGCAAAGCAAAGCTCAGGGTGGATCTCAAGGACACCACACAATCTGAGCACAAGCAAGCGGCCACAAGGCCAGTTCACATGCAGAGTTATGATAGCAAGGTAGTACACTGATCACAGCCTAGCAAGAGTAAACAAGCAGGTATAAAGATATTTATATATCAGTGTACAACAAGAGCAAGTCAAGCAACCAGCAGGTGAGGCAGAGTGGGCACAAGCCCAAGAGCAGTGCAGAAACGCTGATGATCACCAGACCCAAGGGCCTTGGTGAAGACATCAGCAGTGTAGGCCCGAGAGGCCACGTAAGCAAGGCGCAGCTGACCACGCTGCTGCAGCTCACGCGCAAGGAAGTAGCGAAGAGCAATGTGCTTCGTTCTGTGCTCCAGTCTCTACTCGCGACACAAGGCAAGCATTGCCTTGTTGTCGACGTACAGAACTGGAGGAGAACGAGGCCGCTCCCCCAAGTCGGTCAGCAGGTAGGTCAGCCAGCGTAGCTCCTGTGCAGCCATGGCCCCAGCGTAGATCTCGGCCTCGCAGCTGGAGCCAAGCCCAGAAGAAGAACGAGTGGACCTCCACGAGACAGAACCAGAGCCAAGACTGAAGGTGTAACCCTGTGACGAACACTGAGTCGCCTGGTCGTCGGCCCAAGAAGCGTCAGAGTGTCCTGTGAGTACCACTGAACCCTGTCCTCCAAGCACGAGCCCCATGCCCGATGTACTGCACAAGTAACGCAGTACCCTCTTCGCAGCATCAATGTGCACCTTTCGGTGTCTACCGGGTGCCACGTAGCGAGCCAGGAGGCTGAGAGGGTACGCGAGGTCAGGTCGTGTGCACGTCATCAGGTACATGAGGCAACCCACAAGCTCTGGGTACGGACCACTCGGCTCTACAGGCTCGTCCGAAGGTGGAGCTGAGAGCGAGTGGCCGGTAGACAGAGGAGTGGGCTGTGGCGAGGACCACGTGAAGCCGAAGCGCTGAAGGACCTGGTGCACCATGTGTGACTGAGTCAGGGTGATGGTGCGCCGTGCTCTGTCCCGGGTGATCTGCAAGCCAAGATAGCTCCGCAGCTCACCCAGGTCAGTGCACGTGTGTCTCTCCTGCAGCTCTGCCTTCACTAGGGCTAGTGCCTCAGTGTCAGCAGTGCAAGAACGCTGTCGAGAAGTCGAGGGAGTGCAGCTCATAGTCACGCTGAGCTGCAACGTGTAGCAACACCCGAAGAGTGGTCATCTTCGGGGTGGGGGAGAAGGTATGAAAGAAGTCGACCCCCGCAAGCTGACTGAAGCCTCGAGCAACGTAACGTGCCTTGAAGGCAGGCGGAGAACCCGGCGGCCGCTTCACCCTGAAAATCCACATGCCACTGACGATGTTCGCCCCAGGTGGGGGAACCTCGTCGACGTAGGTGCCTGTGGACTTCCAGGAAGCCATCTCTGCGTCCATGGCTGTCTGCCACTGAGAGGAGTACTCACCCGAGATCGCCTCTCTGTAAGAGCGCGGGGTGGGGATGTCAAGTGCATCCGGGTCTCCCTCAGGGGCAAGCAGCATGGTCGCGAGATGGGGTGCAGCGGCCGCAAGGCACTCCAGCTCCTCCTGTCTGTCCTCAAGAACGTCACAGCCAAGGGCAGTACAGCCAAGGGCAGTCTCACCCCCGACGAACGGAGGACAGGCAGGGTCAGGGTCAGAAACAAGACTCGCAAGGTAGTCTAGGCGGTGCGCATCAGCAAAGTCAACTAGCTCAGCGACTAAGGCAGACGCAGCAAGAGACGAGAACGTAGGGTCCATCACAACTGTAGCAAGAAAGCGAGTGACAGTCGGACTGGAAGCACGAGCAAGGTCAGACGGAGGGTCAGTAACGTCAGGAAGAGAAGACGCAGGAGGTGGCGTTAGGACAACACGCTGTGGAACAGAGGAAGGACGGAGTGTCATATCGTGAGTGCCTGGGACAGCCGGAGCAGGAGGACGACGCACACGACGAACACGAGCAGGAACGGAAGCTCTAATCTCAGGCTCTCGACGCTCAGGAGTGGAAGCACGAGTCTCAGGCGCTCGACGCTCAGTCAGGGACTCTGTCACAGCAGTGTAAGGAGTAGGAGCAGGCAGTGGGGAGTGAGGCAGTAGCTGTGGAAACAGTAACGGAGGAGTAGTACCAGCGACTGGGAACTCAGTAGGAGCTTGAGGAAGACCGAGAAGGTGGCGAAGCGCACCAGCAGGTCCACCACCAGC